AAAAAACTCAAACCTTTTATTTATTTATTTGTGCGTGTGGAATATTCAACCCTGTTTCGTTCACTCTATAACTGGAGGAAAGTGGAGCTCAAAGGTTCAACCAATTAAGTAGAGCACCATTTCATTTGTGCAGTCTTTTTCCCCTCATCCCTACGCTTCTCCTATATTTCTGCAGAGGAAATTTAAGACCACAGATATAGGGGAGAATGAGATCAATCACAAACGAGGATCTAGGTATCTCTTATCAACATATGAAGCTATCATCCTTATAAATATTTTATGGAAATCATTGCTAGTCACTTACTAGAGTCAAGGTAGTAGGTATTGACTTGGTTAAATTTTGGTTAGTTTTGTGTTGGGGGCCTCTCTGTCAAATTAATCCTAATCTTTATATGTATTCTGATTTTTGAACTCTCTTCTGCCCTCTACACTTCTTCAAATGGGGGAAAGATAGCGACCAAAAATAAGCCTCACAACTCTGCTCTCCGTTGCTACACCAAGTCCACCATGGCAATGAAAACTTGTAAGGCCCATTTCCGAAAGAATATTGGGACCTTTAGGCCCAAGCTCAAGATAAAGATACCTTCATTTTCTTAAGAAACTCTGTCCAATTCTTAACATTATAGACTTGTTGAGATGGTCTTTATTTTGTGGAAACAAGACTCTGATTAAATAAAAGATTTTAAATTTAAATAATATAATATGAGAGTAGAGTAAATTAAGATATATAAAAAAATTATCTCTAATTATTAAACGTAAAATTAAAAAAGAAGAAGAAAGAAAACTCGGACGCAAGTGCACCATACAGTTATGTTATGACATGTACTCAACTTGGGTCCAGGTTCAAGGGCCGGACCGAATCCACGGCAAAAAATATTTAGAATTAGAAGGAAAATAGTAATGATATAATTGTAATACCAAATAAATTTATAATTATGTTGTATTATTAAATTAATTAATTCATATAACATAATGCTTGGATTTTTAAATAAAAAATAATTATATTATGATACATTATAATTATAAAATTATTTATCATTATAATGACTACTTGTAATCCTTATTATCAGTTGTTTTAATTAATTTTTAAGAAAATCAGTTAATTACTCTTAATTTCAGGGCAAATGCATTTAAAGTGCAATTTTATCCTTCTTTCTCAGCCGAATTTCATCTCGCTTTACCATTTATCTCGTGCTCGTTATTTTTTTCTTTTTTATCGCTCCATTGTACTCCAAAAAAATCACATAAAAAAAAAATACATAAACCCTGTTTCGTAGGAATATAATTCACCGAACGCCTTCTATGTCATTAGGTGCTCCTCAAAGACCTTAATCTAGCAAAGATAGAAGACAGTTACTTTGCAATATCTATTATATCCCTATTTAAGTTTGCCATTTGTTTTTCAGAATAGTTCATTCCGTAATAAAAAAACATTAGTCTATTTTTATTTGGTTTTTAATTTTAAAGTTGCATAATGCAAATCAATCTTGTCTCATCT